ATAATGAGTGGTGCATGAAACACTTTAGTTATATAATGAGTGGTGCATGAAACACTTTAGTTATATAATGAGTGGTGCATGAAGCACCTTAGTTATATAATCAGTGGTGCATGAGGCACCTTTGTTATATAATGAGTGGTGCATGAAGCACCTTTGTTATATAATGAGTGGTGCATGTAGCACCTTTGTTATAAAATGAGAGGTGCATGAAGCACCTTAGTTAAATAATCAGTGGGGCATGAAGCACCTTGGTTATATAATGAGTGGGGCATGTAGAACCTTTGTTATATCATGAGTGGTGCATGAAGCACCTTAGTTATATAATGAGTGGTGCATGAAGCACCTTGGTTATATAATGAGTGGGGCATGTAGAACCTTTGTTATATCATGAGTGGTGCATGAAACACCTTAGTTATATAATGAGTGGAGCATGAAGCACCTTAGTTATATAATGAGTGGTGCATGAAGCACCTTTCTTATATAATGAGTGGAGCATGAAGCACCTTTGTTATATAATGAGTGGTGCATGAAGCACCTTTCTTATATAATGAGTGGTGCATGAAGCACCTTTTGTTATCAAATGAGTGGTGCATGAAGCACCTTAGTTATATAATGAGTGGTGCATGAAACACCTTAGTTATATAATGAGTGGTGCATGAAGCACCTTAGTTATATAATGAGTGGTGCATGTAGCACCTTTGTTATATATAAAGTGGTGCATGAAGCACCTTGGTTATATAATGAGTGGTGCATGAAACACCTTTCTGATATAATGAGTGGAGCATGAAACACCTTAGTAATAAAATGAGTGGTGCATGAAGCACCTTGGTTATATAATGAGTGGTGCATGAAACACCTAGGGTATATAATGAGTGGTGCATGAAGCACCTTAGTTATATAAAGAGTTGAGCATGAAGCACCTTAGTTATATAATGAGTGGTGCATGAAGCACCTTTGTTATATAATGAGTGGTGCATGAAACACTTTAGTTATATAATGAGTGGTGCATGAAACACCTCAGTTATATAATGGGTGGTGCATGAAGCACCTTATTTATATAATGAGTGGTGCATGAAGCACCTTAGTTATATAATGAGTGGTGCATGAAGCACTTTAGTTATATAATGAGTGGTGCATGTAGCACCTTTGTTATATAATGAGTGGTGCATGGAGCACCTTAGTTATATAATGAGTGGTGCATGAAGCACCTTAGTTATATAATGAGTGGTGCATGAAGCACCTTGGTTATATAATGAGTGGGGCATGTAGAACCTTTGTTATATCATGAGTGGTGCATGAAACACCTTAGTTATATAATGAGTGGAGCATGAAGCACCTTAGTTATATAATGAGTGGTGCATGAAGCACCTTTCTTATATAATGAGTGGAGCATGAAGCACCTTTGTTATATAATGAGTGGTGCATGAAGCACCTTTCTTATATAATGAGTGGTGCATGAAGCACCTTTGTTATCAAATGAGTGGTGCATGAAGCACCTTAGTTATATAATGAGTGGTGCATGAAACACCTTAGTTATATAATGAGTGGTGCATGAAGCACCTTAGTTATATAATGAGTGGTGCATGTAGCACCTTTGTTATATATAAAGTGGTGCATGAAGCACCTTGGTTATATAATGAGTGGTGCATGAAACACCTTAGTTATATAATGAGTGGTGCATGAAACACCTTAGTTATATAACGGGTGGAGCATGAAGCACCTTAGTTATATCATGAGTGGTTCATGAAACACCTTAGTTATATAATGAGTGGTGCATGAAGCACTTTAGTTATATAATGAGTGGTGCATGAAACACTTTAGTTATATAATGAGTGGTGCATGAAACACCTTAGCTATAAAATGAGTGTTGCATGAAGCACCTTTGTTATATAATGAGTGGAGCATGAAGCACCTTAGTTATATAATGAGTGGTGCATGAAGCACCTTTGTTATCAAATGAGTGGTGCATGAAACACTTTAGTTATATAATGAGTGGTGCATGAAGCACCTTAGTTATATAATCAGTGGTGCATGAGGCACCTTTGTTATATAATGAGTGGTGCATGAAGCACCTTTGTTATATAATGAGTGGTGCATGTAGCACCTTTGTTATAAAATGAGAGGTGCATGAAGCACCTTAGTTAAATAATCAGTGGGGCATGAAGCACCTTGGTTATATAATGAGTGGGGCATGTAGAACCTTTGTTATATCATGAGTGGTGCATGAAGCACCTTAGTTATATAATGAGTGGTGCATGAAGCACCTTGGTTATATAATGAGTGGGGCATGTAGAACCTTTGTTATATCATGAGTGGTGCATGAAACACCTTAGTTATATAATGAGTGGAGCATGAAGCACCTTAGTTATATAATGAGTGGTGCATGAAGCACCTTTCTTATATAATGAGTGGAGCATGAAGCACCTTTGTTATATAATGAGTGGTGCATGAAGCACCTTTCTTATATAATGAGTGGTGCATGAAGCACCTTTGTTATCAAATGAGTGGTGCATGAAGCACCTTAGTTATATAATGAGTGGTGCATGAAACACCTTAGTTATATAATGAGTGGTGCATGAAGCACCTTAGTTATATAATGAGTGGTGCATGTAGCACCTTTGTTATATATAAAGTGGTGCATGAAGCACCTTGGTTATATAATGAGTGGTGCATGAAACACCTTTCTGATATAATGAGTGGAGCATGAAACACCTTAGTAATAAAATGAGTGGTGCATGAAGCACCTTGGTTATATAATGAGTGGTGCATGAAACACCTAGGGTATATAATGAGTGGTGCATGAAGCACCTTAGTTATATAAAGAGTTGAGCATGAAGCACCTTAGTTATATAATGAGTGGTGCATGAAGCACCTTTGTTATATAATGAGTGGTGCATGAAACACTTTAGTTATATAATGAGTGGTGCATGAAACACCTCAGTTATATAATGGGTGGAGCATGAAGCACCTTATTTATATAATGAGTGGTGCATGAAGCACCTTAGTTATATAATGAGTGGTGCATGAAGCACTTTAGTTATATAATGAGTGGTGCATGTAGCACCTTTGTTATATAATGAGTGGTGCATGGAGCACCTTAGTTATATAAGGAGTGGTGCATGAAGCACCTTAGTTATATAATGAGTGGTGCATGAAGCACCTTGGTTATATAATGAGTGGGGCATGTAGAACCTTTGTTATATCATGAGTGGTGCATGAAACACCTTAGTTATATAATGAGTGGAGCATGAAGCACCTTAGTTATATAATGAGTGGTGCATGAAGCACCTTTCTTATATAATGAGTGGAGCATGAAGCACCTTTGTTATATAATGAGTGGTGCATGAAGCACCTTTCTTATATAATGAGTGGTGCATGAAGCACCTTTGTTATCAAATGAGTGGTGCATGAAGCACCTTAGTTATATAATGAGTGGTGCATGAAACACCTTAGTTATATAATGAGTGGTGCATGAAGCACCTTAGTTATATAATGAGTGGTGCATGTAGCACCTTTGTTATATATAAAGTGGTGCATGAAGCACCTTGGTTATATAATGAGTGGTGCATGAAACACCTTAGTTATATAATGAGTGGTGCATGAAACACCTTAGTTATATAACGGGTGGAGCATGAAGCACCTTAGTTATATCATGAGTGGTTCATGAAACACCTTAGTTATATAATGAGTGGTGCATGAAGCACTTTAGTTATATAATGAGTGGTGCATGAAACACTTTAGTTATATAATGAGTGGTGCATGAAACACCTTAGCTATAAAATGAGTGTTGCATGAAGCACCTTTGTTATATAATGAGTGGAGCATGAAGCACCTTAGTTATATAATGAGTGGTGCATGAAGCACCTTTGTTATCAAATGAGTGGTGCATGAAGCACCTTAGTTATATAATGAGTGGTGCATGAAGCACCTTAGTTATGTAAAGAGTGGAGCATGAAGCACCTTAGTTATATAATGAGTGGTGCATGAAGCACCTTAGTTATATAATGAGTGGTGCATGAAGCACCTTAGTTATATAATGAGTGGAGCATGAAGCACCTTAGTTATATAATGAGTGGTGCATGAAGCACCTTTGTTATATAATGAGTGGTGCATGAAGCACCTTAGTTATGTAAAGAGTGGAGCATGAAGCACCTTAGTTATATAATGAGTGGTGCATGAAACACCTTAGTTATATAATGAGTGGTGCATGAAGCACCTTAGTTATAGAATGAGTGGAGCATGAAGCACCTTAGTTATATAATGAGTGGTGCATGAAACACCTTTGTTATATAATGAGTGGTGCATGAAGCACCTTTGTTATATAATGAGTGGTGCATGTAGCACCTTAGTTATATAATGAGTTGTGCATGAAGCACATTTGTTATATGAGTGGTGCATGAAGCACCTTTGTTATATAATGAGTGGTGCATGAAGCACCTTAGTTATATAATGAGTGGTGCATGGAGCACCTTAGTTATATAATGAGTAGAGCATGTAGCACCTTTGTTATATAATCAGTGGAGCATGAAGCACCTTAGTTATACAATGAGTGGTGCGTGAAGCACCTTGGTTATACAAGGAGTGGAGCGTGTAGCACCTTTGTTATAATATTGAGAAGAGCATACAGCACCTTTGTTATATATAGAGTTTGGCTTGTAGCACCTTTGTTATATAATGAGTGGTGCATGAAGCACCTTTGTTATATAATGAGTGGAGCATGAAGCACCTTTGTTGCATAATGAATTTAGCTTGTAGCACCTTTGTTATATACTGAGTGGAGTGTATTTCAGCAAGTAGAAGAGCAGAATGTTGAGTTGACATTGACAACCAAGAAACGTGTCATATAAGGTCAACACAGGGAAGCTGCCGTGTCGCTTTAACAGTCCCAAGCAGCTATCAATACGGGCACTTGTGGCGTCCAAACAGCTGACTTATTTATACCTGGTCCCAATCTGTTACGCTATCAATGCCTCACTGTCACAGTTTCCGACACCTGACAACATCGACGTGTATTCATTTAGCTTGTCAACCGATAAACAGCCAGGAAGGCGTTATATTTCGGACATTCGAGGAGTAGGTAAGTCGCTGATATATTTTCTTCTTTGTTGTTTTGTTGTTTATACTGTAGTCAGCAATTTTCCAGCTGTCTGTAAATGAATCAGTCTGGACCAGACAACCCAGTGATTGGCATCATAAAACAAGCATTACTAGGTTACGATAGCATATATACTATCCCAAAAAAAGAAACGCATAGGTCAGAAATCTGTTGCGAAAAATGTTGTATTTTCTAACATGTATAACTCGTCCACAAATAGACTTTAGTACATGATTTTTTACATCGGTATAGAAGAAGTAAATGTCTATACAACCAAGTGGATAATGTTAGATAACGGAGCCTCTGAGCGCGATGGTGACGACGTTGCACGGTCCCGACGTCGGGTCTCATGGCTCTCAGTCCAATCTGTCTCAACCTGTTCCGTTCAGTTTGACCGGATATCCTCCGAAGTCCAGGCACCCTGGCTACTGTGCTCTCTCACCCGTGGCAGTACGATCACGCAAATGGGGTACCCGGATGTACCGATTTGGGGCTGCAGTGGTGACTCGAGGTCTGCCTGTACGGGGACGGTCATTGTTATAAGTGTTTGGTTGTAACGAGCTGCAAGCCGTGATATCGTGCTCAGACTAACATTCAGACGCCTGGCAACAGAAGATTGATAATATCCAGCGTGCATTCTTTCAATGGCGATGTTCCGTGTCGCAGCGTCAAGAGGTGGCGTATTGATTTGACCTTGAAACTCCGTCAAAACGAATGCCGATTTCCGAAAGTAATCTGGATTTTTATAGCCAGACAGTGCATGCTCTTTGCTGCCCAATTTCAACTGGAAGGTGATTTTTGTTGCGTTGTGGCAATGCGTTGTTAATCCTTGTCAGAAATCTCATCAAAATCAACGTTTTCAGATAATTCGATTTTTTACTTGTGCAATCGTGTAAAATCATGTTATCAACACTTTTGTTGCATATTTTGACGATTGTTTGAACATAATAGTAAATTAATAGAGTTTTTTAAAAATATAAAAACACCTATGCATTTCTTTTTGGGGATAGTATATCAACTACGCCAGCTTGTGTGCTGATAAGAGAATAAGTCCGAGATACGATTATCGTGTAAAAAGTGGAGTGGGTATTCCGTCATTGTTGCTTGGAGAAAACGTTTCGAGTTTGAGTGACATGTTTATCTTATTGTATGGTATCGTGGTAGATTGTAATGTATTAGTATGATTTCGTCACCATTCGGAGAGCCGTCATAAAAGGGAGTTAGCGCGCGTTGGGGTAGCCTAGTGGTTAAAGTGTTCGCTCGTCACGCCGAAGGCTCGGGTTCGATTCCGCACATGGGTACAATGTGTGAAGCCCATTTCTGGTGTCCCCCGCGGTTATATTGCTGGAATATTGCTAAAAGCATCATAAAACTACTTTGCCCTTTGTTCTTCTGAAGTCGCTGAAGGGATAAAATTTGAAAAAAAAATGGGCATAATACGAGAATGAGTTCATGCAATATGTGACGTCATCTTTTGGCCACCGTAGACTTTGGGTTGAGGATGTAATTCACAAGAGATTTAGACGTCTGGAAGATCGTCTATTTGGACAATATTTCAGAAAGCAATTAGTAGTAGTAGTTGGGGTAGTGGTAGTCATAGTCGTAGCACCTCTGCCTCTGTTCATCCAGCAGAAAGTGGGTACCCAGTGGGATAGGTTATGACTATTATCAGAGATAATGATGTGCTTTGCTTTGTTATTGCTATGAGCATTCACCTCGTGAATGGAGTTTATCTCATTATAGTTATAATTGTATAGTTATAATTGTATAGTTATAATTGTATAGTTATAATTGTTATGGTTATAATTGTTATAGTTATAATCGTATAGTTATAATTCTAATAGTTATAATCGTATAGTTATAATTGTTATAGTTATACTTGTTATAGTTATAAATGTTATAGTTATAATTGTATAGTTATAATTGTTATAGTTATAATTGTTATAGCTATAATTGTATAGTTATAAGTGTTATAGTTATAATTGTTATAGTTATAACTGTTATAGTTATAATTGTATAGTTATAAGTGTTATAGTTATAATTGTTATAGCTATAATTGTATAGTTATAATTGTTATAGTTATAATTGTTATAGTTATAATTGTATAGTTATAATTGTTAAAGTTATAATTGTATAGTTATAATTGTATAGTTATAATTGTATAGTTATAATTGTTAAAGTTATAATTGTATAGTTATAATTGTTATAGTTATAATTGTATAGTTATAATTGTTATAGTTATACTTGTTAAAGTTATAATTGTATAGTTAGAATTGTATAGTTATAATTGTTATAGTTATACTTGTTATAGTTATAATTGTATAGTAATAATTGTTAAAGTTATAATTGTATAGTTAGAATTGTATAGTTATAATTGTTATAGTTATAATTGTATAGTTATAATTGTTATAGTTATAATTGTTATAGCTATAATTGTATAGTTATAATTGTTATAGCGATAATTGTATAGTTATAATTGTTATAGTTATAATTGTTATAGTTATAATTGTTATAGTTATAAATGTATAGTTATAATTGTTATAGTTATAATTGTTATAGTTATAAGTATAGTTATAATTGTTATAGTTATAATTGTTATAGTTATAATTGTATAGTTATAAATGTATAGTTATAATTGTTATAGTTATAATTGTTATAGTTATAAGTATAGTTATAATTGTTATAGTTATAATTGTTATAGTTATAATTGTTATAGTTATAATTGTATAGTTATAATTGTTATAGTTATAATTGTTATAGTTATAATTGTTATAGTTATAAATGTATAGTTATAATTGTTATAGTTATAAGTATAGTTATAATTGTTATAGTTATAATTGTTATAGTTATAATTGTATAGTTATAAATGTATAGTTATAATTGTTATAGTTATAATTGTTATAGTTATAAGTATAGTTATAATTGTTATAGTTATAATTGTTATAGTTATAATTGTTATAGTTATAATTGTATAGTTATAATTGTATAGTTATAATTGTTATAGTTATAATTGTTATAGTTATAAGTATAGTTATAATTGTTATAGTTATAATTGTTATAGTTATAATTGTATAGAGTAGTAGCAGTAGTAGTAGCAGTAGTAGTAATAGTAGCAGCAGCAGCAAATGTTGATCAAATACCTACTCTATCACAATGATTACAAAACACATCTGCCTTGACAACAAATTATAAAAGCGTGTAATATTTGAAGTCATCTGCAGAAGAAAAACAAATCATTTCATACACAGCATACTTGGAGCTCGTGTCACATACAGCCTTGCCCTTGACAAGGCCTGCGTTGCCATAATGTATTTAGTATTGTACCACCTGACAGGGTGGAGGTCAGAGGCTTGTGGTGTCCTGTGTCAATACTCGCTCTGGAGGTCATGATCG